TCTGCTCAGCTCTGAATCTGGTCTCAGTGTATCACTGATCCAGATCTGATGCTCACGACTTGAAGAGAATGTGGTTACCCCCTCCCTGCTCTGAAATCAGAGAGCTGGCTGTGACAAGTGGGCTGGAATCCAACAGACGCTGGATAACACTCCATGGGACTCTTCCTGGGTACCCCTTAGGCTCTATGGGGGCTGAGACCTCATGCAAGACCCTGCTGTCTCTCCTCTCCCTTAGATCCTTCGTGCCTATTGTATTATCTTGGAGAAGCTGCTGGAGAACGAAGAGACGCAGATCAATGGGTTCTGCATCATTGAGAACTTCAAGGGCTTCACCATGCAGCAGGCATCAGGGATCAAACCCTCTGAGCTCAAGAAGATGGTGGACATGCTGCAGGTGAGGTGGCAGAGTCTGCACCCAGCAGTGGGTCACCATGCTGGAATAATGAGAAAGCATCACAGAGAGGCTGTTCCACATCACCCTCTCCCTGCCTTGCCAGCTAATTGGCTTAATCTTGCAAAATTTTTCCCCATCTCCCTGCTTTCTCAAATGCCTGAGCAGAAGCAGTACCACCACTCCTTGCAGCATCCTAGGGTGTGGCCTGGAGGTCTTTCCTCAGGAGCCTCTCAGCCCAGCCTGGTCCAGGCTGGATGGAGACTCACAGGCACTCCAGGATTTCTGCCCTTGGACCAAATGCCAAAGACACTCGGCTCTTCCCAGGGGAGGTCCTTCTCTTGGAATGGGAGCAGTGAGCTATCTGTGAGGTTCTTCAGCTCCCTGGTGCTCCTGAGGCTGGGATGGTTGATCCTCTGAGTCAGAACCGAAAGGGGCCATCAAATAGAGAAGGGGACATGGAGCAAGCAGAGCTGTGGCAGTGCTGGTGTATCCACTGCTGCCTGCTCAGATCTGGGTGGATGGCACCATCTGCAACCATCTCTGTCTGGGTTTGGGATCCTAGGACTCCTTCCCAGCACGGTTCAAGGCCGTCCACTTCATCCACCAGCCCTGGTACTTCACCACCACCTACAACGTGGTCAAACCGTTCCTGAAGAGCAAACTGCTGGAGAGGGTGAGTGTGGGAAGGGGACCTGCAGGCAAAGGCACGTCCTTGGGTGAAATGGAGCAGCTGGAAGAGCTGCCCTGGCCCTCTACTGAGGCTCACTCCCATCTCCCTCCAGGTCTTTGTGCACGGTGAAGAGCTGGAGTCCTTCTACCAGGAGATCGACGCTGACATCCTGCCAGCAGACTTTGGTGGCAACCTGCCCAAGTACGACGGCAAAGCAACCGCAGAGAAGCTCTTTGGGCCCCGCATCGAGTCTGAGGACACGGCTCTGTAAAGCCTGCTGCCCTCCCCTGTCCCACAGCACCAGAGGTGGCCCTCTGACCCCTGCCACCTCCCTCCTGTAGCATTGATTGAGTGACTGCTCATGCTGAGGCGTTGCTCCACGCCTGTCCCTCCTGTCCCCACTCCAGGCAGCAGAGTTGGACTGTCTCCCTCCCAGGCACAGCATCCTTCCCTCCGGAGCTGGGGGAGAAAGGAGGCCACCAGCCCTCTCCCACAGCATTTCCTGGAGCTGCGAGGGGAGGACAGGAGAGTGTCTGCTCGGGGAAGGGAGGGCTAGAGTGAGGGGGAAATAAAGTGTTTAACAGCAGAACTCTGCGGTCCCTCATGGTGAGGAACAGGGGCACAGCTTTTTGGGAACTGGCTGCATTGCTGGTTCTAAGGAGACCAGGAGTGCCAGCAGGAGACCCCATCCCCTCATCATTGACTACACTTTGGCACCAGGAGCAAGGAACTGCCCATGTCCATCCTCCCTGCATTCCAGATCAAGTCCCTTTCTTGCCCAGGAAAGGACCCCCAATTCTTCATTATCTGCTCTAACCAGGGAAAACAGATGCAAACAAAAACCCAGCCAGGGTTCCAGGGGGAGATGTCTCTGCCTAATTCCTGCTTGGGCAGGGAGGAGAACAGAAGATGCAGTAGCCATTGAGACTAGGAGATGGATTTCAATCACAAAGCAATTGAAAGACAAGCAGAATGTACCCTCCTAAATCCTTCCAAAGCCTCAGCACAGTTGCTTCTCCTAGCACTGCACTGTGAAAGGGAGTTCAGGTGGGGAAGCCCCACCAAAAGTCACCATGGAGGGCAAAGGATGGTACCTGTGCAGCAAACAAGCTGCATCTGGCACTGATTACACCTTGCCCAGGTGAGGAGGAGGGAGGCATAAGTAGCTATCTCAGGTAAGGGAATCTGTTCTGGTTCATGAACCAGGCATCTCCTCCAAAAGCCAATTGGACACCCATTCCCAGACCCTTGGCCAGCAGCAGGGCTCAGAAAGGAGCAAGTTCCTGGTCTCTGCTTAGTAACCTTCTCCCTGAGCCTGATCCCACAGTATGTCCTGTTCCCCCTCCCTGCACCACACGGGTCCTTTTCATCAGCCAGATCAGCCCCCCACCCGAAGCTGGCTGAGGTGCAGGGTGCTGACAAGAGCCACATTCATCAGGGCACTGGCTCAGGCTCAAACCAAACAGGACATCAGCTCTGAAGCCACAGGGAGGACGGGGCCTGTCTGGGGCTAAATCTGTTTGCTGCAGCCTCAGCTGCTTGGTGAGTGCATGCACGGCCAGTCCCAAAGCCTGAGGCTGTGCCAACCTTGTGCAAGAGTCCAGAGACAGAGCAAAAGGCACCTCTCCACCTCCTTTGGCTTCCTTTCTCTTGGGAGCCATCGCAAGGAAAGCACGTGTGACAGCCCTGCAACCATCAGGCCAGTGCAAACACAACAGCACAGCTCGCCTGGGAGGCAGAGCAATTGCAGCTTGTGGAAACAGAACAAGGGGAAAAAACCCATCCACACAGACAGGAGTAACACATTGCTGCCTCTGGGGTTTGGACTGGGAGAGTCACAGCTCTTGGGAGGTGCCTGTGGCTGCTCAGCACTCCTGTGACAGTGTTGAGGGAGACAGAGAACAGCACAGCAGAGCTGGGAGCTGAGCAACTGACCAAGGCAGGAAGGAATCCTTAAGTGGATCTAACAGGTAAATCACAATGGCCAGTAAATGACAGATGAAGCCCATTGTGTCCCACAGAGCTCCCAGTCCAGCTACCCCAGCAGGTCACCAGTCCCAGTTACCCTCCACAACTCTCTCCCTTGGGCTGTAGACAAAAAATCCCACCCTGGTGAGTTGTCAGGGTCAGGTGAGCAGTGCTTTTGTATGCTCTGGACTCCAAGATGTCACTGTCCTGGCCAGAGATGTTGGTTCGTGTTTCTTCTGCCAGCAGATGAAAGATTAGGAAAGGCACTTGCTCTCACATAGGGAAAAAGCAGATTTATTCCACAGGCAAAAATAACTCTTTTTCAGTAGTTTTGTGGCAGATGTATTTTTTTAAGCCAATGCTACACCAAATTCTTCACCAGAGTGGCATCAAAGACCTCTTCTTGGCCAGAACACAAAAAGCAACCAGGAGAGACTTGAGCACCACAAGTGCTTGTATATCACCTTCCCCCCAGCCAGCTCCCCAAGCTGGGCCTCAGGGAAGACTGAGAGCCTCTGCCAACATATGGAACTTCACACACAGTCACTACATGTAGCACTGATTTCAATAAGTCCTTTATTTTTAAATAAAGAAACCCCACTGAATCAAAGATAACAAAATTACATTTTGTTTTGCAATTACTTCCATTTTACACCACACACAAACAAAAATGAAAGAAAAAATCAAAGACAGTTTTATATATATTTATATATAATTTTAAAGGTAAACATCAGCAGATATAGAAAAATTGCATTGCTTGTTGCAAATCATCTCCCCTGCAGCTCTCAGCTCCAGAGAATCTGACTCAGAACATGGCAGCAGGGAGGGTGTCTCAGGGAGGGTGTCTCAGTATACATGCTTCTTCAGGGCAGCAGTTAGAGATAGTCACAGAATACAATTTTGCCAAATTGAAAATATTTTCATCATCAGCTGCTCACCAAGAACACTGGAAGTCACTCTGCCTGTTCTAACACAGCTGCATGAGAAAAACTAGGGCACAGGTCTCCTCAAGCTCTTTACACACCTTTTTGGTTAGGAACTTTCAGAGAAAGAGGTTATGCTTTCTCAAGAAGAATGGCTAGAGATCTGTCACTGGGAATTACTGTCAAGCTGTCATGTAACACAGTGAGAAAATATGCCCTTTTGGAAAGTTGTTGACTTGGGCAAAGCAGTAGGATTTGGTTATATCCAATACAAGTGGGTTTTATTTGGCTTTTTTTTTATTTTTATTTTAAAGACTTTCCAGTTGGTAGGAACCATGGGAAGGGTCACCATCCCAGCAGAACTATAGTCGAGATTCTAGAAGAAAATTCTGCATCTCTTCTCTGGTCATGCAAGAATTTTGATTACAATAGAAGTTTGTCAGTCATACCAAAGCAAAGGGGCTTTGTGCCATCTTGTACAGGTGTTCAGGATAACTCCAGAAACCTTTCCAGCACAGCATGGAAAGCTGGCAACTGCTTTGACTCATTGATGGCATTTGTGCCTAAGCTCCCCTAACAGCTGAGGAAGTCCAGGCCAGTGTCACTCCCATTCCCAGTGAGAAAAGGGTACAGGGGCAGCCTCCCTTGGGCTGATGCTGCTCTGAGGCATTCTAAGCTTGAAGAAAAATCATAAAGTCCTCACACCAAGAAGGGCTGTTTGCTTTTCACCCAGAAGCCATGAAAGAGACACTGCTTTGAGTCACTGTGGCTCCAGCACCCTCCCAAATGAACCAACCCACATAAGGGATAAGGACACATGGAGTTATGACTCAAGCCAGAAACAAGATGTTCTTTACAACAAATGACTTACACAGGCAGCACAAGGCTCAGGCCTTCTCTGGTCTCACAAAAAAAGATTGAAGAATTTCAGTAAGCTCCAGACAAGCATAGCATTTCCAGAAAAATGTGGAAGCAATCCAGGTGACTAAACTGGCAATTAAGTCCTGAAGATGGTAGTCTCTGCTCTTTCCTTTGAGATGGAGCCACTAGAGCAATCTACCTCCAGCTATGCTGCTGGAGTGTTAATAGACACAAGAACTTTGGGATTGCAGGAAAACAAGTCACACATTAAGCAAACCCTGCTTCTATGACTCAGTTCCTACTGCTAGAAGAGCAGAGAGCTGAAAGTGATCCACTGCTTATATACATTGCTTTAAGCCTTGAAATTGACTGTAGCCAGTTATAGGCTGCCCACAAATGTCCTTTAAGTCAGCACTCAGTTGTACACTGTGCATCACTGGTGCGTCTCAGTGCCTGAAATTTCATTTACCAAGAAGCAAAGCCCCAAAAGCTCTGACAGAGCTGTTACTGAAGTCTCTAGATATGCTGATGTCAAGGGAGGAGGAGGAAAAGGGCAAGGCACCACGTGTCAAAGGGCTGTGGTCTAGGAACTTGTGACAGACCCAGGACAGATGACACACAGGTAGCTTGGCTAAATTCAGTACTGGAGCTAAAAGTTCCCAACATTTTACTTAATGCCCTGTCTTTGTAACCCATATATTCATAAACAGGAACTGCAGAAAAACACTCAAGAAAAGGATTGCAGGGAAATTCAAGCGTTTGCCTTTACAGTGCAATTACAACACTGCCAGACCCACCTGAAAACACCTTGATTTAGAACAAAGGGACAATTAAAAATGCTGGCTGAGCTCTTGTAGTGGAAGCTGAAGTTCCTTGTGTTCAGTCAGAGCAAGTCTGAGTTGCTTATTTACCATCTTCAGGTTTCTCCAGAAAAATGGCAACAGTGATGGTTGGACCAGCCTAACCATCAAAGAGTAATAGTTTTGCAACTTGCTGTCTGGTTGAGAAAGTCCTCAAGGTTCATGTTCAAGTGCTACTCACATTCAGTGATGGGGAAGGTGTGTTTACATGAGACTACCCATGGAAGAGCTCTCCTAATGATTTTTCTAATTCCAGTTTGAAACTGAGCAGACCACATGTCAGACTCACCATGTTGTAACCTTGAACTCCTCTATCAGACCACACTGCAATGATCTACAAGTGCACACTTCAGCAGCCTCATGTGTTTGGTAAGAGATGAAAGAATTCACCTCTAAGACTGAAAAATTCAGACTGCATTTAAGGCTGGGTTCACTGGGCAAATAAAGACCACCTGCCCACATAACAAGTATTACCTTATTTTAGGAGATAAGAGTATTTCAGATTAGGACTGGACAAAGTCCCATGTGTTATTCGGTATCAATTATCCATCATTGTCAGTAGCAAGATTTAATAAATTTAAAGGTCTTTAGATAACGTGAACTGCAGCTTAATTTTGTCCTCTCCTAGTTCCCCAAGACCTCTAAGTGACTGCTGCAAGTCTGACTGCAAGTCTTGCTTTGAAAGAAGCATCAAATTTGTTGAGATGGAGGGAATATATTTTTTTTTTACACTGCTTCCACCTACAGGCTTAATAAGCTGTACCTCATGCTCCAGAAACCTTGCACAAAAAAGCCATAAGAAAAGGTGTCCTCCCCCAAATAAGCCAGACTCAGTCAAGTCACAAGTGATTTGAACAGTTTGAGATTCAAGTGCAAAAACAGGGCAAGGGAGCAAGACAGAGACCCACAGTACTTCTGTAGTTGAGAGTTTCAGAAAGTCCACAGCACTGGCAGTTCTCAAGTATGAAGGGCTTGGGTTATGGGGCAGGAAGGAGTACTCCTCAGAAAGGCTCTCCAAGTTTAAAGAAAAATCTCTACTTGATTAGGCAAAGCTGCAGCTCCTGCTGATTTGAGAACTGCCCAGTTGCTCACCTCATTTTGGGAGACTTAGACACCTAAATTTATACTGTATCTATTTGATGTGTACATGTGTTGTTTACACTCCACTTCTGCTGAAGCGAGAAGATATTTAAGTCATACCCAATGAATATTACATGAACACTACTTAAGCAAAAAAACTGAAATGTCTTTTATGACATACTTTAGTGATGCAGTAGGAATAAGAGCATAACAACACAGAGACAAGATATCCATCAGCTAAGAATATCCTTGCTAACTGATGCCCTAAAATAGTTCTTAAGGAACAGCCACAAGCACAGCCAAATCCTGCTGTAGCTTTACTTAGTTTCATCTTCTCTTTGAAGAAAAAAAGAAGCCCAGATTTACTAACTAGGAGAATGTGCAGATATCCACAGTTCATCATGGATCACAGGCCAAGGTGTTTGGCCTAAGGCAAATGAAAGGAATTTCCTGATATGACAATGCACCTTTGCTACAATAGTTAATTATTGCTTTATTAAAATGCAACCCCACCTACTCAGCCTACTGAAGTTCAGGGACAGGGCAGTCCAGAAGGCTTGTTCCCCAGGTTTGTTGTTACCAGACTAAAGACTTGCAGCTTGTTTCACCCTTAAGCTATAAATTAAAGTGCCTGGAACACAGACCAAGGCTGAAGCAATAAAGTGCTGATGAGGGAAGTGTGACAGGAAAAGAACTTCACTGACACTGTGAAAAAGAAATCTTAAGGATGGATTAATGACACTACAATATTGACAGAACAAATCATAAGGAAAAAAAAAATTACCACTAGTTTCAGTCTCCAGATTGTCATGGGACAATTTTACCACTTTCCTTTAATAACTATCTTGGCACAGACCAGAACTGCCACTTGAGGGAAAAGCACAGGTGAGTAGCCAGCTTTCCTGCAAACAGCTTTCACACTTCACTTTGCACATTAAAACTAGAAAGGGATGTCTGGTTGTGGAAAAGAAATTCCAGTGAGAAAGAGCCCAGTGTCTTACTGGAGCCAGTAATCCTACAGCATTACACAGATCTGGAAGCAGTCAGCCATGCAAAGATGTCATTTCAGTTGCACAAGGCTGGAGACATCCAGTTCCACATCAACTGTAAGGCAAGTCACATGTCTCAAACCCGCTTGATGCTCTGAAAGCTAATGGGAAGAATTTTGGTATTATTTACCCTGACATAACAGGAGTAAATCTAAATAGATACACCCTACCCCCCACCAATTAATCCCTAAGAGAGTACAATAGCTCTCCATGAAATATTCTTTCAAACAAATTGAGCTCACAGAAGAAATCCTGCAGATTCATAATCATGGGTTTCCATTTGGAAGCCAGAGCCAGCTTTAAAAAGCCCCAGGTCAAACAAAGAATCCAGTACTGAAAAATAACAGTATTTAGAAAGAGGCAAAGATAAGAAGGTGACTGATCAGGTCCTGGAGTGAGAACATGTTTACATAGAAACATTAACTGGCATTACCAGGCTGCAGCTTTTCTCTACTTGGAGACCCAGCATAAAGCCACCCCAATCCACTGACAGCTCAAGCAAGGAGAAGTTGAATATTTTTAAAGTGATTCACTTGTGCAAGTTCATTCCTAGGTACTAAAAGGCTTCCCTTGAGATGGTGCAAAGCTGACACTACACTTGCAGTCAAGCATCTGTTTTCCCAAGCCATGCTGTAGTGGCTTACAGACTGAACCACTCACTGGCTTGTGGCTTGGTACAGGGATTTTCCAGCACCCAGACAGAGAACAGAGCCACAGTTATCCATCATCTACACCTAAACAAATGCTGCAGATCAAGTTTTTGACCAGCAGGTAAAGAAATTTTGACATGTAGAACGTCTGCTATATTAAAGCAAGCAGTCTTTAGCTCAGTAGCCCTGTAACAAGCTACAGTCAGCAACCCAATTCTTCAAGCAGAGCAGTAAATTACAAATCCACGTGACTGGGTATCCAAAGAGGCTCTGACCAGATGTTAACCTCTGCTTTAATTCCATTTTGGAAAAAAACACATGGTGATCAAACCCCAGCCATAAGATATCAAGGAGAATGGAAACCTGAAGCAGCAGGTGAGAGAACAAGATGCTCCCAAACAGGGAGATATACTGAAGTGATCCAGAGTCTTTGGGTCAATTACTCCTGGCCAGACACAGCCTGCTCACTGTCTGAGCAGTGAGGCTTTGTCTTCTCCCACTGGCAGATGGCATTGGCATACTGTACCACGAGCTTATCCATCCAGGTAAGAGGCTCTGGGAATAGCACAGACCCCTCAAAAAATCCCAGGTGGCCTCCATGAAGGGGCAGCACATGCATGACATTCTCTCTTTTCTCTGTAAAAGAAAAAGAAGCAGAAAGTTCCAGAGGGTTAACATCCTCAAGCTGAGACTGAAAGCATCTTGAGCTGCCAAGACAAAGGCTGCCCAAGAGATGCTGCTGCTGGGCCCTAACAGAAATACCTGTTATTGCTGTAAGAATGGTCATTCTTTAACAAATGAGCACCTTTAATTCACATCCACTGGAACTAGGAGTGTTTGCATCACATCAAGATGCACCAAGCTCTGACAGTGCATCAGCCATCTTGTTGCATGGACAGTGAAAAACTCTGTGCTTGCTTCTCTCTGAAAGCAGCTGGGGATAAATTCTCTGCTCACAGCCTCTGACTAGGAAAAGAATGAACCCTGCTTCCCTCACTGTGCACCCACTCTTTGTGTGATGAAGCAGCAGCAGCTCCCTCTTCTGAGCTTCTAAGGATAATTTACCTTTTTCCTTGTTTGAAGAGAGACAGCTCAACTCCTTCCAAGGGAGAGAGATCCCAGTTCAGTGCCAAGTGACAGAGCCATGCTTGCACTGTCCCCATTTCATCAGCAAAGGGAATGTTGATCTGTGCTTCATCCAGACCAACACCCATCTTCCTACTAAATCCCAGTGAGCAGTGGAGCAATGTGAGGAAACCCTTTTTCATCCAAGAATGTAACCTGCTGCTACCAACACAAGCAACAGGTGCCTGAAAGGACTGAAGTTCTTCCTGCTCAGGGTTAGCCCTGTTCTAGCATTGGTGACTTAGAGGCTTAGCACACCTCCCACAGCATTACAGATGTAAGGAGGCAAGTCAAGCTACTTTGAAATCAGGAATTGTGATTTGATAAGCAAGCTGTAGGTACACAAATATTCACATCTTAAGGAGACTGTTTCAGCATACCTGCAAGAGCTCTCGGAATTGACAGAAGACTCTCATGGACAAGAGGGTCATCAGCAGCATTAACCAACAGAAGAGGAACATAGATCTATGTCAGGAAACATGACATGAAATGAAAGAAACAAAACAAAAGGATGAATGTCAATCTACCAGTTGTAAAAGTACCTTAGTGTAATTCAATTAAAATCTCTTATTTCAGAGTTATAACCCAATTGTAAGAAAGAGGCAGAGAGCAAACAGACTGAGTCCCCATTCTTAGAACTGAAATAACTACACCTTTTTTTTGCTCTGCATTGCTTTGCACATCAGTCAGCTATTACTCTGTTATGGACACCTTGGTTAAAGTTCAGGAAACTGCCCTGGAACATCTCTAGTCTCTGGTTCAGTAGAAAAAGGAGGAATTGATCTCAGTTCCACTTTGGTAAAACTTTGCTCAAGCATCTGCCTGTCAGTGTTCAGAGTCTCTTCCACAGTATCCAGTGATCCTTTTTTCCTTGGAGGTACAGGCTCTGTCCAGGCACCCATTTCCCACTTTATCCACATATACTCAGCACAGTTCAGCTGAATGTGTGGCTTTATCTCCATCTCTTGGCTGCTACCATCTGCCAGAGTTATAAACACTTAAGAACCCAGAGAATTTAGCCCCAGTGTTAGAGGTAGCAGGATCTGAAATCCCACTCCAATATAGAACTCTGCCTGATTATTTCTGAAAATCCCAGCTAAGACAATTGCAGATATCAACAACAGAAACCACAGAGTATCTTCCCTGCAGTGCAAGAGCAGTCTGCTGCAAGAGCTTACCCTGTGCAAGTACTGCAGGCAACTTTCCTCTTCATAGTACTCCTTCAGTGAGCTGTAGCCATGGAATTTCCTGAAATAGAGAAGATTGTCATTAATAACACCTGCTTCAGCCATGTCACCCTATTAGTGTTAAGTGAGTACACATACCCAGAAACAGGAATGATGCCTCAATTTCCACAGACAATTTTTTTAATACCCAATCTCTTTGCAAAACCCTTTGGCAGCACATGCCTTGATGGTTCCTGTGCCTTCTCAAACATTCTGAGAGCATGGGCAAGTCAAACATGCAAACTGAAGACCAGCAGCCTTCAGGGTGCTTCTTTTAAAACACACCACTCCACTTAACTGTACATGTGGACGAAAAAGTCAGGATCTTGTTCATCTTTCCATAAAAGTCTTTTAAAATACAAACCCAGCACAGCTTATAAACCTCAAACTTACTGGACAAGTTCCCCAGAATTCACTGTGGTTCCACTTATTTGCCAAATCCCTTCACACCATCCCAAACTAAGAATTCAGTAAGCCTATATTCAAATGCTTTTTTTTTTTTTAAATAAGGGGCAACGTATCTGTTGGTCCAAACTAGAAAAGCCTCAGGGATGGGGGACAAGCAGGGAGATTTCCCAAGGAATGTTTTTTTAATAAGCAGCCAACCATATTCCCAGTTTGCCAAAAGTGTCATCACTTTTTAGCTAACACTTTACAGCTTTATTTTGGAAAGGGGTCAATGCCTGATACAGAACATGCCATGATATGAACACTGCCACTTAAAGTGCTGTCTTGCTGTCAAGGACACAGGCAGTAACAGGCTACTGCTTATTAGAGCAGAGCACTTAAATTAGGTGTTAGTATGATAAATAACAAAGGTTGCATTATCTCAGCCAACCCTATTGTGTATTGAGAAAGCAGAAGTGTTTTATGGGGAGAAGGTTTTTCAAACAGAGCTAAGGAAATCCACGAGCAGTTCTGAGCTGCTTTCCACATTCCCTTTTCTTTTTTTGGTTGCTAGAGCTTGGCAGCAGAGCTGGCCTTTTCCTACCTTAGTGAAGGCTTCAAGTTCAGCTGTTACCAATAAATAAATAAATGCCTCCTGGATGATTTTAAAGAAGCTGTGACTGTAAACAGTAAGCTGTTTTTTGTTGATTTTTTTTTTCCTCTGCTAAATTTTCTTCAATGTGGAGGCAAGTAAGAATTTGAAGTTGTGTACACTGTATTTCAGCAGACTCCTGCAGGCACAGCAAGGGGAATGCAAGAGTAGCACTGGGAAGAGAAGGTACTTTGAGTTCTATAGGGGAGCAGAGAATTGCCCTTCATACCTCATAACGTTATCGTCGATCTGCATAAGTGATGTTGCTGTATAGAGCTTGCCCAGATCAGCATCTGACAGGCTTTGTGGCTTCTTCATGTTATCTCCAAAAAGAGCTTGCCTGGAAGAGTGACATCAAGAATTACATCCAAATAACACAAGGGCAGCAAAACCATGACCTGCTCAAGGGCAACTGAGTTTACCAAATCTGACAAGATAAGATTACAAGTGGGCTACATAAACATGAGGCTTTCTTAGGAGCAAGAACAGCTTATTTGTTCACTTACCTTTGCAGCAAGACAAACTCTAGCAGCCTCCTTGTAGGAAAAAATGTTTCCCTTATCTACTGAAAATCTGAATGAGGGTTTCTTTTAAAAGAAACTTCCCAGAACAGAGAGCACTAAGGGTATTTGGACTAGAGGCTACATGCTAGAGGGAGGGTTCTTTGGCTTCAGACCAAAGCTGTGGATGGTATGGGTGAGAGCACCAGCAATGCTGGGCACAGCATCTCCTGCACCATCTGGTTCTAAAGCCTCCCAGCACAGACTTCAGGCTACCTCACACACAGAAATTACTCAGGGTATTACCTTAGCAGAAAGTTATTTACTATGGACAGTTGTTATAATTGGTTATTACCCTCAAGGGAGGATGTGTTTCTTTATCAGAACAAACTTCTTCCCTAACAAACAGCACAAAAGCCACAAGTTGGAAAGGGATTTTTATTCTCTTTGAGAGGCAGCTGCATGGCAGAGCAGGAGGGAAACCAGGTTTGATTTGGGCGACTTAGAGCACAAATGATTATGGAAAAAGTTTACTTAAGACATTTCCTTTCAAGCCAGCACCAGCTTTTCCTGGGTTAAGAATTTAAGTAACTTTTAATGGGAGCTTACCTAACTTCACATGTCAAATTTGTTCAAGTTGTCTAAATATTTGTAAACCTGGAATGAATTACGTAGATCATCCTACACTGACTACTCTCCTTCTACAAGTGTTTCATACTGCACAGGAGTGTAAACAAAGAGCCAGAAGTCTGAAGTGACATATGTTCCTTCAGTGAAATAGGTCTTCAGATATTTCCCTTCAGTCAGGCAACTTCCAATACACACAGATGAGGTACTTTTTTGCCTAGAAAGTACCACCCAGAGAACTTTTGATGGGGAAAATACCAACATCAAGCATGTCACCTGTTTAGCACACAAATTTCATTGTTATGCAAGAGGCACAGATCAGCAATAGCAGCACAAGGATCCTACAGTACACTTGCACTCCAGGAACAGCAATGTTAAGTGTTTTGCTGGCTACATGATCTTTCTAGAGGAACAGCTAGAAGCCAGAGCTACAGGTTTGACTATTTGCTTATTTGATAAGCAGCAACTCCATCTAGCAGATCTTGAAGATTAGTCCTACCTCAGGTAGGTGGCAGAACAAGAGGCTCCTTCAATAGGGAATTCTTTGGCTAGAAGTGAAACAGATGCAGAAAACTCCACTTTGAAGTTTAATTGCAATGTTTTCCTGTGCATGTCTTGTTTATTCATTAAGCAAGTTTCCACAGAACACAAAAAGACAGCAAAGTCATTCTTCTAACAAGATGACCAAAGCTTATTTGTATATTTTACGGTATAATGAGATTGATATGGCTTCACCTTCTGTTGGTTCATCTAAAGATCCACCAAGGAACTTGTGCTAAACTTTACAGGAGTCCTTTTTTAAAGGATCAGGCAGACAAAACCAACACAGCAAGTGACCCAATCAATACTGTCAGTGTGAGTGATGTACTTCAGTACCTGTGAGAAAGGATGATTTTCTTCATGTTGTCTGCCATGAGGAAGTTATAAAATCTTCTACAATGATCCCACTGCATGAAGGTTTCCTGTGCCCTAGAAAAAACACCGTGCAGAACAAACAAAGTTGTTAATGGAGCTCTTGAAAGATCAGATTAATACACTGTTAACATCTCATGGCAGCCTGGGGGTTGTGTAAACAAATCTCCAGGCCTTCCCTGCCACAGCTTAACCTTTTCCAGGAAATGACTTCCACTTTGATGAAGTTTGTTAGTATCAGAAAACAGATCTGCAGTGTCATCTTGCACAATGCAATTAGCAGTTTTGATCAGAGCATTTAAGAGCCATCAGTCAAGATCCACAACACTGACAAGAGGATTTTAGTATCCCTTTGCAGAAGTTTAACATAATTTACGTAACGGGACTTTCAAGGAAAGGGATAAAACCTGTTGCTCAACAGTGTTGTCTATTGTGTAATACAGCTCTGCAGAGGAAATAATTTGTGCAGGTGTTTCCAATATGTACAGATACTATTATTGTTTCAGTTCATTGGCAGGAACTGTAGGAATAAATACTAGTTGCAGCTGCAAGTGGCATCTGGGTTGAAGTCTTTACCTATTCTCAAAGCAGAAGAGCGCTTCACAGCTTATCTGTTGTTAAAACAGAATTTAAGCCATCCAGAGTTGTGTGAGCTCTGCCAGATACCAGCATTCCTTTGCTCTGCAGGGTCATGGGCAGGTTAGAGCTTTACTCCTAGCAGGGTTTGCTGTTACTGAGGGAACACACTCATTTACTGAGAGACTGAAGAATGCTGGGAGCAGTTTCGGCTACCGAAGCTCTCCTACCACCTAAACATTAACATACCATGAGAACTACTGTAGATTTAGCATGACCTTCCAAGCTATAGCCTGCAAGTCCCCTACCAGGCAGAAGAAAGCTGTTTTCTTGTAATAAGCCATGCTGGAGAGTATGGATTAAAAAAAGAAAAATCCATTACCTTTTTGTCTAGCCAGGCTACACCAACCACATTTATACCAGGGCAGAAAAATGAAAGAAGACAGGAAAATGCACATTTCTTTCTTCACAAAAGGTTTTCCAAGCAAACCTATTAAGTTATTACAAGATGTTTGAAGTTAAAACTACTACATTTCCCTGCAGTTCCTGTGGTGTACAGCAGTACTCCTAAAATGAAGGGATGCAAGCATTAAAAAAAAAAAACAACACAGGCAGCTTCCAGTATTTTGAGGACTGCCCTGGTTTCAGAGCTGAGGTCTCTCCCCACAGCCTGTAGCTATGGTGAAGATGCATTCCACAAGATCAAGAAGCAGAATCAAGCCTATGCAGGCAGAGATTAAGGAATAAGGAGACCTGTCCCTGTTTAGCCTGAGGGAACACATTCCCTAGACTCTGTTAATTCACTAAACTAAGAGTCTCATTCTTCTGGCAGATCCCAGCATTGCTGCTGCTCTGGAAAGGATTTAGTGTTTGAGATCCTTGGTTCACCTTGCTCACTAAAACTATTTTCCTTCGCTTATGAAAGTAATTTGGGAAATAAATGCTGGACAAACCAATATAAATAATAACAAAAAGAAATTGTAAACAAATTGGTCACATTGCCAGCATAATCCACTTCCATGTAGCCCTGAAGGCTGAAGCCAGCTATTTTAATGTACCAGACCAAGCCCAGGAAGGCAGTGGCTTCTACCTGGAGGTGCTTTGGGCCTCCTCCCTGCCACTTCTATAACCAGGGCACAAGGCCCTCTGTCCCTCCTCCTGACTTTTGCTCAGTAGATGTTGGCTTCCCCTAGCTCTTCAGCTAATTAGCACTTTGAGCAGATGCAGACACTAAGAAGGGAGACACAAGACCTAAAAAGCCTTCCTGCTGGCTGTCCAGTAATCCAGAGCAGATGTTTTGTGGCAGGAGGTTTGCTAGGATATATTTACCCAGCAGGTGGAGGCAAGAGCTCAATAATCCACACAACCCACATGATGAGGGTGCATTAAACTCAGGGGGGAAAAAAACCCAACTGAGTTGTTTTTCCACAAAAATATCCAAGTGGAGAATTGTTAATCAGGTTGTCCTTGCCATGCAAGCATAACAGCATTACTCACAACAGCATTTTGGAAATCAGGAATACAATATTGCATAATTGTAGAAGATGAACCAAGTGGAACACAGCCAGATATTATCCCTGCAAACCCTGTCTGATGGTTGCAATTAAGGAGCTGGCTTCAAAAGGATGCTCTGTGCTCTATGCCAGAACCCCAGGACAACTAAGAACATTTTACTTGAAACAAAACAGAACAGCTGTTCCTGTAGCATCTGTTCAGACTTTAAGGGTGTAAACTAGCAGCAGATTATACACTTTTTTAGCAGTAGTCACATCTGACCTCAAAAGGAATTAGATAGCTGGAATATTACATACATATCAAGCTTTTATTCATATCTTAGTGCTTCCAGAAAAGCTTTTTGTTTTTACCTGTAAGAGCCCAATTCAGAAAAGGTGTCTTCAGACTGCTGAATAACTAATTAGTCCCTACAGGCGGAGCATCATCAGCATCAAGAGTTCCAGCTACTCTGACCAGGGCAGTCTGTGAGGCTGAATTCCATAGCAAGCCCCTCAAACACCTGCCACAGTTTCACCATTCATCAGCCCAAAGGATCTTGATTCAAATACCCGAGTCTCAACAGTCTCTTTTGCCTTCTACGTCATCTCATGGCTCAAAACTGCAGGTAAATTCCTGCAGTCAGATACACCTTAGTAACTGTCCATATGTACAAACAGTAAAACTTAAAACAGCAGCTTAGCCAGTTACAGGGTTTTAATCTTCATTACCTGTGCATATATGCCAAGGTCAAAGCACATTAGTTGAGTCCAGTTTTCAAGCAGCACTGCTGTGCCTGGACCCTCCATCAGTACATGCAACTGAAGCCATCACAGCTCCTCAAGTGTCACAGCTTTGGCTTCCAGGTGGGAAGGCATTAATATTTTTAGATTTTAGGGCTGAAATCTGAAATCTGGAATAATTTTCCTCCTCACCTTCCCCACTCCTATAACACAGCTGCAAGCACCTCTCCATCCCCTGATCAGCCCACAGCACTGTTTCAGTGACACACACTAAGAGGGGAGCAGAGACTGACAGAATGTGCTGTGTCTTTCCAGTCTCACCTGGTAAGAGCTGCCAGATGAAAGTGCACACTGAAGTCAAACAAGCTATTATGAACAACAGGATATTTCTCAGAGTGATGAGACAGTGTAAACTATTGCTTGCAAACCTGGCATCAGCTCAGCAGCTGGTCACGCTGCCCAGCCTGCCTGGTTAATTACACCAGGACTGCACAGGGAATGCCTCCTCTTAGGACACTGTAGCCATGAGACAGCATCACATGCACAGTCCAGAAGCTGCCAGCATGTATCTCACCAGGTACACAAAACCTGTTTGCATTGCTGACAAGTTTACTTCTGCTTGCAAGTCAACAAAGCTTCAGCTGCTCCATCAGGAGTGTGCCACCCTACACACTCAGTCTGTCAGACCAGTTCAGTGTAAGAGAAACATCCATCTTCACCCTGCCCTTCCAAAGATCTCCCCACTCCCACAAGAGAGCAGCATGGGGAAGGCTCCAGACCCACCTCAGTGCACTGTACCCCTGGCACAAGCTGACACAGCACAGGACTCGCTCCTGGTTGGCCTGGCTCTCTCCCAGGTATTTGCACACTATGTTTCCACCCAGGCTGAAGCCCACAACAACCAGCTGGGTCTGAGGGTAGGTCTTCTTGATATAATTCACCATGGCACCAAATTCCCAGGTACATCCTAAAAAGAAGAACAAAGTTAAAAAACATCTTCTAATATATTTAAATTCTCACTTGAAGCTTCAGTTGCATGCCTTAAATTCAGCTTTTTACCCTTTCTGACTTTTCAATAGCCTTAAGGTTTTAACAGCTCTGATTCAGATGTGTTCATACATCTGTGCATCCTGTGGAGCTTAGCTCATGCTTAGTTCTGACTTCTGGCTGAGTGTTTCAGCAGGGTTTGGGCACTTCCTTGTGAACACTCTTAATTCATTATCTTCAAGACTACAAATTCTGCATTGCTCTGGTTTCCTCTGGAAGAAGCCAGAGGTCAAAATACTTTAGTGTTAGACCTTTGTGACTTCAGGGCAGCTCAGAAACCCAAAACTAGAAAAGCAACACGTCAAGCTTGATATAGAGGCTGGGATTCAGCGAATCTCAAATTCAGGCTACTTGCTCTTCAACAAGCATGCCTGGAATACAGCAAAGCTAACAGGGCACTGAGTTATTTGGGTAGGAGGCAGAGTAAAGTCTACTGGACTTGCTGGCACTTAACAAGCAACTCTGCCAAATGATTTACTGTCTTACTCAAAGGAAGTGCTAGGCATTCTTTACCCTTTCCAAGGCTATAAAAGACTCAGAAAGGTATGTCTCAAAAGATACACTACAGAATAACACCCTAAGGTCTAAAGCAAAGCTCCATGAAAGCAAACTCTTTTATCAAAATAGCAAATGCTTTAACAAGTAGAAATTTAATTTTCAAGACATGGTAGTCTTGCAGCCATTAACAGCCTAGGGCCTCACTACAAATGAGGGTATTTGGTATTCCTGAAGTGTTTCCCAAAGAGGAGTATATTTAATAATTCTAAAACAAGCAACAAAGCATTACAGCCTACTTGCCTGCCAGACTTGGCACCTCGAAGCACTGTACTTCTGTTTTGACAATTTAACTGTGCAAGGTAACTATTCTGTTAGTCCAAAATCTAAGCAGTGGTTTAGCTAACTTTAAAAAACCAAAACCTAACACAAATCTTCTAAACACACAGTTGACAGGGTACCTATAGATACAGTAAAGAGGGAGATGAGGGCTCAAGAGAGCTCAGGAACAAACAGATTAGGTCACAGGCAGAGAGGCCCCATTCTACAAAGGTCACATTACTCACCAAAAGGGCAATTAAGACTAGCTGGAGTCACCCTTCACACAGTTTCAAAGCATTTATTCCTTTTAATTTCTAGGTTAAAAAAGACTTCCTTTTACTCAAGGTGAGACCCATAATCATGGCAGCTAAGCACTACCATTTCTGTAGCTTTACTGTCATACTCCTGAACTGTTGCTGACTTGTGTTACATCCAGGAGCAAGTCCTCACATGTCCCTCCTAAGATATAAGTGTACTTTCTGGATAGGCTGGTAGAAACTCCTCTCAAGTTACATTGTACAAAGCCTCAGAAGTGGCATTTATCCTTCAGGGACAGGTTTGTTTCACATTCCATGAAACTGGCAAATTCAGTATCTCTAAAATCATTTGAACAGGCTCTGGGTTGGCAATAAAGGATTGTTTTCCCAAAGAAAGTTTTCTTACAAAAAACTGCCTCCTTGATGAGAATACATGTGTAAGAGCTGGCAGAAGAGACAAAAGTGAATTTAGTATTAGCTTCCTCTCATCAAAGTTCAGTTTAGTTCTTAAGGAACAGTACAATATTGTTTTACCCCCATTGGGGTACAGCAGTTCTGTTATCCTGAAGGAGGCTGATCAACCCCTACAAGTTTCATGAGCTTGGAAGTAAGTTCCCCAGGTGCCACAAAATACCTACCATAAGTGAACATCCGTGGTGAAGTGAGCTCAATGTTTGGCAGGGCTCCCAAGTGATTCAGGACAGCACATCTGTACCCGTTTTTCTGGGCATAGTCAACAAAGGTGCGGATATACTGCTTCTCACTGTGGTTAGCAATCCCTGGGCAGATCACCATCGTGACATCCTCTGTGCTCAGAAAGAGAGGGAAGTTAAGTAAATGTCACTTCATGCAAATTAAGAGAGTCAGAAGATTTCCATTTCAGAGCCGTGGGAAACCACCTACCACAAGCAAGCTAGAATTCCTACTAGTCTGCCAAAAATCCTGTATGGGACAGGAGACCAGCAGCTCTAGCACTACAGATGTGAAAAAGTAATTGATGCTATGGGAGATGAACAGTTTTTAACTTCAGGGAAAGCTGTGCAAACAGTTCTCTTCTCCAGGCACTGCCTAGAGACCAAGAGTACATTCTGCTGTCTGAAGGACATTTTTGATGTTACACATGTTCTGCCTTCTGACAGCCTGCTGTGACTGTTGTGTGTGGAAGCTGTGCAGCCCAGCACTCCAAGCAGACTGGTTATGCTATTTCCCTTCTAGAGCTGGGTGCAATACACATCTTCCAAATGAAGCACAGACATTCTGATCAGCTGACATTAACCATCATCTACTTTGTGGCTAATCTAATGATATTTGATCTGCTGACACTGTTCACTAGTTTAACAAGATATCATTTCATCAACCAAGAAAGTAATTGCTGTAATTCAAGTAAGCACAGTAAATTACATTTAGGATTATCATATGCACTTCAAATTAACTGTAACTCTCATGTGCCAAGCTCCAACATTACGAGCTCTAGCCACTGAATTTTTATCTTATTAGAGAAGCACTGCTCAGATTCTCTTCAGTAAGATAACAGTAACTGCTCTAGCACAGCACTGTACCATGAAGATCTCAATACTGACAGTTTAAAAAAAGAAATCTGCATTTCTCAGGGCCAAATGGGAGCCATGGGCTCTATCCTCATCTGTCCCCCAGAGCACAGAATCAAGGTTAGCAGCTAGATGCAGCCAGCAGCTGTTGGACTGACCTCCAGTGCAGTGCTCAGAGCATGGCTCAAAGAGATCAAAGGTGGCTGTTGCTCCATCTGGCATCGTGAGGTACTTGCGAAGTCCATATGGATGTGGTGATCTCACTCTCCCCATTTTTCCATAAAGAGCTGTCTGGATATGTCCACTCTTTCCCCAGATGAGGGGTGGAATGTACCTGAAAGGCAGTAATTTAATTGCTTACCCCTGCTGTGTTAACGAGCCCTTGAGAACACAAACATTCCCATTACAAATCCCTCACCAGCTCCCAAACATAGTAACAAATATGGAATTGTTTTTGCTCTGACTGAACTGGCAGCAGTGATCTTTGCAGCTTTACACAAGAGTAGAGCCCAAAACACTCAAAGCTGAAAAATCAGCACTGATAGCAGCAGCCAAAACCAAGACATTCCCTATATTGAGATATTAGAGGAACAAATGCTTCTCACTGAATACACAGAGGCCTTGTGCCTTGGTGAGATCAGGAGTGCATGTTGCCAACCAACCAAAGTGACCTCCAGAACTGTACAGTGCTGTAAATCTGTTTTAATTGAAACACTAAAGCCTCCTGGGTTGAGCCACATGAACTTGTGTGAGTACTTGACTGTACAAGCCAGTGGCAGAAACAACAGGATTCACTCAAAGTTCCCAAAAATCGAAAGCCCCAAGACTTGTTAGTTGGGACCACAGAACTGCTTAACTAAGTTAAGCAAAGAGCACAGTACAGGTTGATTTTGCATTTCAGAATTAGGTAAAAACCAGGACAGTGTTAAGAGAACCAGTCAGAACTGATTGAACTCCACTGAATAACAAATCCCTTTCAGTAAGAGGGGTGAGTCTACCAATTACTTATACTTATCAAGGGTATATTAAAGCTATGTGACAAAGCAGATTGTCTCTCTTTTCCTGGCTTACAGGCCCTCAAAAAAGATACATGAGAAACACAGCTATGAGCTGGAAAGCATTAAAGGCTTAGTTATCAGATTTTTTTAGCACAAGCAGAGCTGCAAGTGGTTTAACAGGAAACATACTGTGCCCTAGCACCACCACCATGTGGGCAAGTCACCTGGTCACTCAGGGAAGGAAACTGAGCCAACGCCTTGAAAAAGAGAGTTACATCAGCTCTGAACAGGAAAGCATGCATGATTTATTGTTGAGGAGAACAGCAACCCCAAGGGACACACTTCCAATTAAAGAACTGTGGTCTCTGGTGCACAGAGCAGGGTATCCAGAAGAAGCTTGAGAGCTTCTGACTTCACCTTGGATCCTGAGGGATTAGCAACTCCCTCCCTGTTGCATTGAGGGCTTCCTGCAATTATTCCTTTTGACTTTTAAAGAGCATATGAAGCAGAGATCATGTTCTTCCCTGTTCACAAAAGCTAGGCAGCTCAGGACTCAAATTTACTACTTAAGACCATAATCCACTAGAATGTGACAGAAACCCTACCTTTGTGCTCTGACACTACCTACTCATACAGCTGGACCTTTCCCCATGCCAGCTCTTATGTGTCATATCCGCAACTCCCTCCTCCCCCCCACACTCCTTAAAAAGACTTCCTATCAAATAAAAACTACTTAGGGTTGTTTAGCAAGACAAGAGCAGCACTATGCCCTCTTTCTCCCCCATTCCTATCCCTCATCTGAGGGGGACTTCTTACAGTCAAAGCAACACAACAGTTCACTGTAGTTCCACTCATTTTTGCAAGTGTGCTTCCCGAAGAGATCCAAAACAGATTTCTGGAGAAGCAGACATTACTTCAATAAAGGCTGCAAACGTTGCTAGCTGATGCTCACAGCCCTGTAAATTAGCCCTCAGTGCATTCTGGATTTGATCACTCACCTATAAAGCTTTCAAAGCATCCAGGCAAGGCCAGGAGCAGCACCCCTCTTCTGTCAGCTCAGCATCTGTGCCCTGGGTCTTGCCAGGCACAGCGTACAACTGTGCAGATTCCCAGCAGTGACAGAGGCTGGACAAGCTCATCCTCTGCAATAGCTGCTGGAGGTGGAAAGCAATCAGTGGGTCCATTCTCACAATTCAGGGTAGATATCCATTGGGATATGGCAGTCAAACTAAACCAGGCTGCACAAGAACTACACAGGGTTCTGCTCAAGTCACATACACCCCAGTGCAAGGGTTCTGAACACAACTATTATGCCAGAAAGAAGACACTGCTCTCCTAACATAAGGAAAAACAGCTGGCTTCAACCAAGTCATTTACTGTACCACCAGTTCATATCAGTAGCCATACTCCACACTAGACAGTGCTTGACTGGCTTTTTGTCTTTTTCCTTCCACAGACATCCTTTACAGATAGGTTTGCTAGCACCTTCTCAGGGAAGCTGACAAATACAATCTATAATAAGAATTTTCAGCTCTTTTAGAAGAGACTCAGACATCAACATTGCTACAGGGTTTCTAATCTTGGGTGAGAACAAGCACTGGTAAGTTTTGGTGATTCTGCTTCCATACAGTGCTTTGCAAATCAAAGACTAACCCCAAATCTTACCCTATAGGGCTAACAGCAAAGCAATCTGTCCTGCTACAGCAGCTAAGTTATATAGCTATTACTGATTACTGCTACCATGAAAAAAATCAAAACAAACCAAAAATCAAGGATCTCTGCAAGCACCAATCCTATCCTCATGTTTAATCTACAGCTCAGTTTCCAGCTATAGGTTACAGCCATCCACTGGAACTGGATGCAGCAGCACATACCACAGGATGTTGCTGGAGATGAAATAATAGTCTTCAAAGCCTCACCACTACTGCCAGAGTTTAAAGGAAGGCAAATGATTCCAAGCACACTGCTTCCCACAGACTGCCTCTTTGGGTCACTGATGGTTTCTCTGGGGAAAGAGACCCCCAGACCCACCTCTGCATAACCCAGCAGGAGGTCGCCTAAGCACTAATCTGCAATAAATCAAACCTTTATACTGCTTTTCAGGCAAACAGCACATGCAGTTTCCTTGACGTGTTTTTTATTTAAGGCAGGAATCCCTTTTCCACATTTCCCTCAAAACTAAAACTGTGTGAAGCCCTATGGACAAGGGAGCACTCACTGTTGCTCCCTGCAGAATGAGTGTTTGAGCATCCTGTGGACCAAGTAAAATGCTCAGCTTATCTTTTAAGATGCTAACTCCAGTCAGCTGCTTAAGCATCGCTGCCTGCAGCAAAGATGGCTTGTGTTAGTCACTCTGCATGTAACTACATTCTTTTAGATAAACATTCAAAGGCCAAGCTTCAGCATGAGTAATGTGCATAGTACTCTGATGCAGAAACTTGTAGCTTTTACCGAGGCATTAAGTACATTTCTGGTTTGCACATAAGTTTTAAAGCAGTTGAAGCTCTAAAATACATGCAAGCGCTCTGGTAGAAATTTGTTACCTCACCAGTCTTTTTGTTTAGGACCATCAGCCTTTAAACAACAGACTTGTGAGGCAAAACACATCCCTTAAGTATCCAGGCTCAGGAGACTGAACACCACACTTTAACAGGGAAAGGGAAAAAAGTTGCCCAGACAGCACAGATCTTGTATTATCAGTGAAAAACTAAACCAGATTAGAATTTACCTTACCAGATAGATGCAAAGCCAAGTAGCTAATAAAAATAATACTTCTGTCTACCAAGACAAGTTGCCAATCTAACCTATGACAAACCCTGTAAAGCCTTTACAGTAAAAGAGTGATTGCTCTCTTTTACTGAATTCAGGTAAAATCTGTTCTCAGGACAAGGTATCCTTATAATCTATAGCAGAATCATTCATATGATCTGCCTGTCACACTATTTCTGTTGACCCTCCATTTTGCCAATGAGCAAAATCTATTTTTGAAATCTTCATGTGACTTTTGTGTCTTTCACTGAGAAAAGTCTTCAAGAACTTCTTCCAAGAGCAAGTACTGAACCTAATGGTGCAAGACTGTACAAGACTGAAGGATGGGCCATCTTTTTATACAGGGTTTGTGCAGACTTACAGCTTGCTTTTACTAAATCCATTCGAAGAAGAGGGCATTGAAAGAACTCTTCAGACCTGAAGCTGCATGATACCACACTGGTGAGGGAGAAAACTTGCCAGGAATTGTGCAAAAGCCTTTACCCTCTGAAAGGACACATCAGATCAATTTTATTTAAGCCTATTATGTGAAAAGCAGTTCCAGAGACATTTCTATCCTCGACCCAGCTGAAAAAAAAAAAACCCTGACTACCCAGCGCTGATAGCAAGAGCTGGAACAGATTGTTTTGTAGTGAAGTCAACATTCCTCCTGGCTAACAGCTGAAAAAAGATGCTTCTCCAAAACAATCATCCTGCAGACAGAAGAGCATGTACTGAGGGCATTCTTCTTGTGGTCTACCTTATGAAAACGAGTTCAGCAGGATGCAACACAGGGAAACAACCATGCAGACTGTGCACCTAAGCAGTATTTAGTATTTGAGTACTGCCCTTCAGATTTTATGCTAAAATTATAATTACTGCTAAATTTAACCTTGTCTTCCAAACAAGGGTCCTTCACTCAAAAGCAGGCGGCTTCCCTCCAGCATTGATAACAAGTAGGAACAAAGAAAGTGTTCAAGGACACAAAAGATTTCCAACTCCTTCCTGTCTGCTATAAATTGAAGTGGTTCTGAAAAGCAGTGTACTGCAGAGATTATTCCAGCACAGCACAAAGACAGCTCAGAACATATTCCTCAGTGTCCTGTTCCAGAGAGGCTGCTCCCAGATGTACAAAAGCCCAGGAATAAACACCATGTCCATAAGCAGCATCTCCACTGTTTCGCAATAGTGGCTTATGGTGACAGGAGCTGAGCAGTGAACACCAGCCAGGAGGACCTCTTGCCAAGGCCTCCACACAGGGACAAGGACAGCATAACATAACCCAGACAAGAATGTACTGAAAAAAAAATCCGAAGGAAAAGTTGTGTTGTACCAAAAATGGAGATTTTTATTTCTATAAACCAAAAATGGCTTCCGAGCTTTCTCCAGACCCAAAGGCTTTTAAATGATTCATTTCCCTGTTTTGAATTGGTCAGTTGTAATAGATAGCAGGCACTCTGAATCAAGATTAATATTTGAAGCAGTTATGTCTTCCAGTAAGCAGCCCTGTAGCTTCCAGTAACAGGACTGTGCAACAGAAGGCAGGCAGGAAAACAGGCCTGGGGATGGTAGTCACTTATTATAGAAGGTCACTTACATGGCCCAGCAAGTACAGAGTTCATCACTCTTAAGTGGCTAAGTGAATTCACAGCCAGTAATATAAATCTGCTCACCAGTGTTGGGGTTTGAGCTCCAAACCTGCATTTCAGCTGTGCAGCACAGCTTCACATCTTGAGAGGTGGCTGCCCACAGTGCTCAAGAACAAGACAATTCCCAGGTTTTCCCAAAAATTTTTCCTAGTGTGTTAATATTTAAAACAATTCCAGCATGTGATTGTAGATTAAGTTTAGTGGCTTTCAGGCAGTAGATTATCATTTTAGAGCACATACATAATCCAGTATGCAGGAATTTAGGAAAGCAGCAGCTGTATAAGCAGCTCACACAAAGCACATAAAAACTGTGCTATTTTTATTAGCAGGCATCAGCATTCAGGTCCTCAAAGATGTGAAGTGGAAGTTCAGCAACAGGCTTATTTCTGGAGCATTGCTTCATTTCATCTGAGAAGATCAACACTTTAAACATTAACTCTTGCATGGCCTTTATGTGCTATAGCACACTGGAGACCAATGGTGAGAAAACAGGGCCTACCACTTGTCAGGGCATTCTAAGAACTTCTGCCTGCACTACAACAGGTAAGAGATTATTTTTCCCCTTTACAGAGCAGTTTGGAGGTATTTAAAGAATGCTTTACAAAAATCAAACTTTGTTTGAGCCTAGTCCTTTATTTGATGCTAGGGAATGCCAACTGAATTTCAATCAAGGAAACTCAAAAGTCTGCAGGGTTCAACCCTTGACCCCAAACATGTAGAAAGCAGCTTTTCCTGCATCAGCTCAGCTAGACTGCTCAATGTGATGAGGACACCACAAAAAAAAATTGCAAGAAAAAAAATTAAGCAAGTTATGAAGCTTCCACATTCCCCGAATCTCAAAAAAGGAGACAAATGGAGAAGTGTTTGTTTGCTGCCCACAGTACCTGTATGAAGTCAGAACTATTTAAAAGTACAGACTGGCTTCCTTGCCTAAAGCACCTCCTTCACCATTTAAGCTTTTATTTAGTAAAGCACCCATCACACCCTTCCTCCCCCCCACCAGTGACTACAAAAAGTATTTTAGTCAAAACAAGGCATGAGGATTTACAGCACTTAGATTCCTCCTTGCTGATAAGAGCTGGAGAACACAAAGCTGCTGCCAATGCCACAGCACCCAGCAAAAACTCAGACCCCCCGAGGCTGCTTCTCTGCAAGGTCAATGCTTCAACTTACCAACAGGGAGCTGCCACTCTCCTCTACCTCTCAGCATGTTCACCTGCCAAAGCTTCAGGGGTAACACTGTTCTTCTAGTTTATTATTCTCCTGGAAGTGTTCCTCCCAGAGTAAAACACCTAGGAGTTGACAGGGATCAAACACTGCTTGCTATTAGGGGGAAGAAAAGAACACTGAAAAGCTTGAAGACAGCTTTTCTGACTACTCATCTCCTTGCATCTAAGAGAAAAGCAGTGACAGTGAAAAAGTCTTTGGGTATCAGGCAGCCTGCTCATCCAGCATAGGTTGGTGTGCAAACAAAGGATAAGAAGGATCTAGGCTGGATCTTTGACAGTGTCTACTAACAGGCTTGACAGTCATTTGCCTCAGTCTTTGAGGAGCTTGCCTTTACCGATGATAAAAAGTGTGCAGACAGCAAGGATAATTATTTTCTACATGGAAGACACGTGCCACATCTCTACAGAAATAAAGACACACATACTTTGTTAGAATAAACTGTAAACAGCCCAAAAATGTCTAGCCTAGTACAGCAAGAACTGGCCAAATTTACCCTCATGAATCAAAAAGCCAGCACTGCATTTCTACAGAAATAAGAGCAAATGAAGGACTTTCTGTACCCTGTTGAAAGACAGGAAAAGGACACAGCTGCCACCAGCAGTTAGGCCCAAGAGCTCAAGGGCACCAATAGCTGTGCTGAATTGAAGAGCTTCCATATGAGAAGCAGCAATTTCAAAAGAAAAGGGTCTGATTATACTACTCCACTTGGTAAGCCAAAGTACAGGGTCAGAGGAATGGAAAAAAGGGGTAACAGAACATGAGCTCTAGGAAGACAGATTCTCTTGCTTCCCCATGTTTGGTAGATATGTAGAAAGTTTCTGGCAGTTTACAGAACTGTAAAAACCAGTACTAACATCCACAAGTACAAGGTACCTGGCACACAGCCATCCCAGACAGTTTTACAATTCAAAGTTCTTCAATTATTCATCCACCACCACTTGGCTTACTGAATGATAACCACAGTTACAACACACTGAATTAGACCAGAGGTGAGGATTGTGTCATAAAGGGAAAATAAAGTCCAAAAGTATTTATTCTAAGAATTTTTAAACACCTGCACAGATAGCAGAAACAAGCCAGGTTATTCTTTCTCCCTGCCAGCCTGTTTTTCACAGCAGTGCCCTCACCCCTTCCTTCTTTAAGCAGGAGCTGAACAAACCAGGTCTGAAAGCCAGTTCACAGCTGTGAACATTCCTCTGCACAGAAGAATTAGTCTTATAACAGATCTGACAACAAACCCAGTACTAATATAACAGAAGGGATTGCTGGGCTACTTATTTTGCTTTCATGGTAGAATCTGAAAAGAGCTGCTTAATCAGCTTTCCTAACACTCTGAATAATTAGCAAGTAATCAAAGCCTTGCAAGATTTTTCAGTGGAGTATGGCACAAGCTGTTTTCACATAGCTTTTTCCTAATTATCCTACAAACTGTTTCATGCATAATTGCAGGAATTTAAATACATTTGTTCCCCTTTAGTCTCCAGGTGACTTTCATGCCTAAAGACAGGATTTCTTTGATTTTTTTTTTAATTTCTATATTGAAAAAAGTCTGTGATAACATCACTAAAATAGTAAAAAGAAATAATCACATATACATCTTAGAGCTGTCCTTCCTGTAAACTCTTTCAATTCCCAACAGCATTTATATTCCCAATAGTCCTGTCTCCCTGAATAGAGATACAGAGTTAGGAGAACTGAACATCTATCTACTGATACATTTTGTTCTGGTTTGTTTCAGCTGAGTTTGCTTCCTTTGGTCATGGAAGTCCTTCAGACAATATTCTGCCCAAGAGGCAGGTATTGGGGATGACTGCTACAGTCTTCAGAGAAGCTTGCAAGCCTGAGCTCAGCTGATCCAGAGGAAGCAAACAAACCAAACTTGCACACTATTAACACAATACCAGGGCTCTGCAAGCAGCTCATCACTCTTGCAATTAATGCACAACAGATGTCTAAATACTGCTGGACATGTTTTGCATTTTCACTCTTTTGGGAATGCTTTGCTCTCCAACTGAAAGTCAAAGACATGGCCCTAATACAGCAGTACTAGGAGCCTGTGCTGTGAGAACAGAGCTGAAATAGCAGGAAAATGGACTCTAAATTAGCTTACAATCCATTTCCAAAGACTAGCCTGATACCAATACGCCTTCAAGGCTGGTAATCAGCACAGCTTCCATGCTTGCTCCTTCAGTGACTAGGGAGATGCCATACTGGAGTGCAACACTGGGGTGGCAAGTATCTGAAGTCCCAAGTAATGCAAACCACCTCAACATTTTTTTTAGGAAAGGAATTGCTTTGCAGTTAAGGCAGTAAACATAATCAAGAATCCAAACACATTTATGTTACCACCAACCTGGAGTGCATCACAGAAGCCTCTCTGGGTTTCAATTTAAACAGAAAATGCTTTGTTTCCTCTAAAAGTTTACAGACCCCATGGCCTAACATCTTATATCTTATGTAATCAAGGCACCTAACACAGCACTGCTAAAAGCCTCTCATCTCCCCTAAAATGACTATCCTTAAATCAGCTTGACTTTTGAGATCCAAAAGGAAAGTTCATGCAGCTGCACTCAGCACTTACTATATAATTGATGTACTTAGAGCTTCTAAATAGGACTTGCAAGTTTTCAAAGTGATTGCAGAAGAGAAATACTGTAATCAAAGTCCTTGTCCCTCCAAAGCCTCATGAAATTGTACTAAATGCTAGCTATTATTGGAGAATGTTCTTGGTGAAGCTAAGGGCAGCTGCACTGATTCTGGAGGTCTTGGAATGGAAGATCAGGGATCAGCCTGCTCAAATACACAGCTGACACAAGGTCAATCTGAAAGTGTATTCAACAGGCTCAGAGCTGGCTTCTATGTCATTACTTTATTAAACTAGTTAGGATGTGCTCCACCAGTAATAAATTTCATTAGTTTTCAATCAACTTGAAGTACTTCAGATAAGAGCAGGACCCTGTGTTCATTATAAGGGCACTGACACACCATGGAAATGTTTCCTTCCTGTGAGCCCCAACAGATTCCTTCTCTAATAAAAGGGAGTACAAGAACATGAACAAGTGCTGACTGCATCCATCCCTCCCCCATTTCCACAGACAGTGGGCTATTGGTGCAGTTATAGTATAATATCAGCATACAGCTTCTATAACGATGGACAGTGATGACTTTTTCTATACATCTATAGAAAATGCCACACAACAAGGCTTGGTCATAAATCCAAGTACCCAAGAGAGTATACCCTGACATTCATTTGAAACCAAGCCTATGAAACATATGAGGAAGAATAGGTAAGTGCAGCTCTTCTTCCTGTAATACAGGTCAGCATGGGAGAAATATACTACTTACTCTTTGGTCAAAAGTGGGCAGGATTTGAGTAGAAAGCGAGCCAAAGCAGAGTCCTGGTACATGAGTTCAGGAGGGGCAGTCGGGCTTTTTAAATTCAAGCATCGAACAATAACATACAGAACAGCAGCAACTGCAGCTAGCTTCACCCCATCAAACACTGCTGGCAGCTCAGAGGTTTCCAACATTGTATTCATTTTCAGCCTGGAGATAAAAAACGTCATTAAAGCTCTTAGAAATACAGTGCTGGATATGATTATCAACTGTCATGTTAAATACACATTTGTGCTAACCAACTAAATTTGTCAGTCAACACTGCCAGGAAATCCTAGCATCCCAACTCAGACTAGCAACTTTTAAGCTGGAAGAAAATTTAGCTGGTATTGTTCTAAACACCCTGACCAACTGGAGAAAAACTGGATGATCAGCTGTGGAAGAGATTTATTCCTAATCAGTGCTGCCCTAGAATTGCACCAGTGTCTCAGGTGTCAGCCCCTGCTCTGCAGCCAGTCAATACATGCAGGATCTTGGCCAAGACTACCCAGGTCAAACAGAAGCTGGGTGAAAAGCCAGGCTATAAAAGCACCTTGGCAGCTTTGGACAAGTGTTCCTCCACAGGTGTACAAGCCAGACTTGAAAAGCAGCACCTGAAAGAACTATTATGTTAGCTCCTCATCCTGAGTCTTGTAGTTCCATGAGAACACTGGTACTAAATCCTGCCTGCACTTAAGATGGTCACTTTATGTATTGGCATTTTCAGCATTTCTTTATTCACTGCAGTTCTGCAGCTGAAGAACTAGATAAATAATAGTAATTAACAATAATTAACTACTCTTTCAAGGGCTTTAGAGTAAAGAAGCAATGAAATCTAAAAAATATATCCTTCCAGCTTGAAATCAAATTCTTAAACTGATCCAGCTTATTTTGAACATACAGGTCAAACAGCTGGCTCCATTTATTTTTGAAGGGACAGGTTTTTCCCTGGGTCTTTCCTAAGTCACATGGGTAACCCACGTAAGATAAGTGACAAGCCAAGCCTTACCAATTTCAATTTTCTTCAAGCTAGAAAAAATTGCCAGTCCTCAGCAGACTTGTCACCGGTCCACGTGTTGCCAGAGCTACCCTGTGGGTGGGGGGGGAAAGCAAATTGATTATTAGTGATAAAGCTGCATTTCTCAGCTGGAAAGGATGAACACAAATTCATACAAAGGTCCCATCAAAGACATGGCAAGCTATTTGTGTAGTCAATCATAACCAACTCTGATCCATCTGCATCAGAAATCTGTTGCCAGTGAACATATTCCAGACTGGATCATTTGCCTACAGCATATTAACTCATCTGCAGTAGGCAAATGCAACTTCGTGAGCAGAGACTTCATCTAAGCAAGACAATGAGACATTGTACTCAGAAAACTTACCCAAATCTCCTCCTATTTAAAGGACTAGGCTCTGCAGGATACTCTTCTCAACTTTGCAGTATCTACTATGTTACTGAAGTGTGAAGCCAGGCTGAAAGAAGTTTCCTGTGACTTTTATTAAGGCTTAGGATGGAAGCTTGTAAACAGTCTCTGCTTGTTCCCACTTCCTTTTTGAGATGTTACAACATATCACACTTCAACACCGTGGGAGCCACAGGAGGCTCAGACACAGCCACCTAATTAATACAAGGGCACATGCAAGAAGGCTTCTTAAAAGAATTTGATGCTGCCAATAAAAGCTTTCAGCCTGTGACCATAAAAGTGTAAGCAATACTTGCTATTAGAACTATCATCCCACAGGCACAACAAATCGATGGGGACTCAGAGCTTCCAGGAAAAGCTCCAGAACTGTCTGCTCTCTACCACAGCTGCTGCCTCCAAATGGAAAACATGCTATCAGGACAGACCATACCAAAGTCTTACTCTCCTTTATAGCAGGAGTAAAGAGTCTCAGAAGTACTTTCTGTACTCTGTGTAGCTACACCAAAACCCCTCGGAAGAAAACACACATGACATCAGCTACTGACTAATAGCATGGTAGAAAGCTGCAAGTTTCTGCCACCACAGCCATCTGCATAACAGAACAGAGCGAGGGAAGCGGAGACATTTAATCTTGGACAGCTCTTCAGCTTCTGTTTTCCAATTCTGAGCTTCACAGGAGAAGGGAAAGGAAAAAGCCTTCTATTCTTCTATTCAGAAGATTGCATGGGCATCATGAGAGGAGTTCAAGAACAACATTTAGGTGCAGAATGCTGTTTCACATCTCTGCTTGGTAAGCTTCTACCAGCACTACCATCAATTCTGTAGGAGACAACAGGCAAACTACAGCAATGGCTTCACCAGGGAAGGCACAACTGGCTGAAGAACAGACCAGCTTCCTGAACTCAAGGACAATCAGGTGCTCAAGCAAATCTCCCTCAGAACAAACTCCCAGAAGTTCTGTTGACATCTTCCCATCATTGTTTTATTCAGAAAATTGAGACACTAACACCCGAGACCATCCTGACACCTGGATTTTAAGCTAGTTTGCTGCTTACAGCTTTCACCTTAGTGAATTTTTTAAAATAAAACTGAGCACAATTAGTCATTAGGATTTTGTACTAGTGACTCGGTATAATTGATCCAACTAAGCCCTATCTCCCTGAGAATGTTCTCTCCCCTGTAATCCTCAGATTACAAACACACCACATCTTTTCTGATACTTTTATGTCTCATGTTAGCCTGTCACTCCCTTAAAACAACATACCAGCTTGCCACTACTTTCAGCTGAAAAATCAGCTGTTGGTAGGCAGGATTATGATTTGACACTTATGAACTAGTATTTTCCATTTTAGACAGTCTAAAACACACATTCACAGAACTTACGCACCTCAAACATGTGTTAGAGGTTCATGTATTTGTCAAAATCTTTACCCAAAAGCTCAGATCAGCCTGTAGGTGTAACACAAAGCTGGCACTGCTTCAATTGCACAGCTTTCTGCAGTGGTTATTTAAGCAGTGGATCTAGTCCATGAATACTCCATGCCCTGTGGATTCAGCTGTGTCACTTGAGGCACTTGCTCTAAAGTCTGGTATTTCTGAAGACCTAAACTGACCTGTCTCAGCCAGGGCAGATTTGCAAGGGCTGAGTCAAAGCACTCAGCTCTAAAATTTTAAGGGTTTAGCTTACTAAAATGGATTTGAGCTTTGCCTCTAATCACATAGGACAAATGTCTCCCTATTTAACCAGCTGGGATGAGGTCACCTTGCTGCTGTTTTGTTAAACCCTTTTTGCATTGACTCAAACTTGTCTGTTTAAAATAAAAAAAAATAGATAACCACAGGTTTGAGCCAGACAAATTTTAATCTAGAATCTCCTCTAACTGGGTCAGCATTAATCTAAACAGACAAACATTTGGCTTTTTCCATATACAAAACACTGGATTCACTTCCAGCAGGCTAGGCAAAATTATCAAAAAGCATACGACTGGAAGCAATCAAACCTTTCCAACCACCAAAGCATCTGAGGTCCACATTGGGGAACCCAAAGAAGTTGAAGGTCCTGGTCCCAAGGATGCTCTTTTGAACCATCTTAATTGCACAATTCTTTTTTTAAAATCACTTACAGGCATAACAGCCCCAAAGACTGGCAATGTTGTTAAGTCCCAATTCTAACTGAGAGATAGCTTTAAAATCAATCACTGGAAGGCAAGTGCTGGATTTGTAGTCTTTTCATTTGCCCTTTTATCACAAAAAGCTGAAAATCATGTTACAGGAAACACTTCAGCACTACTGTTAACAGAGTGCACTTCATCTGTACAAGTATAACAAGGAAAAAATCCCAATCTCACCCTTTCCAGACAGAAACAGACAAGTACAACAAAAGGCAGTAGAGCTACAGCAAATTCTTTGTGTAGTCTTTCAAAAACACTGGTTTTTTGATGGGATAGCCATCATCAAAATATTTACTTGCACAGTAAGTGAATTCACAACTATCAACAAATCCAAGACCTGAACACATTTCAGTTCCAGATTTCCTGTGGAGAGGAAACTTCCAGGGACAGACATCACTGTGACTCAACAGGCCACGCACAGGATTTGGTAGCTACCAAGCTTTACAGCTCCTCCACCCACAGAAGCAGAGTCTGACTTTTCACACTGGAAAGCCAAAATTAAAAAAGCAAAGATATTAAAGGAAGCTTTTCCCACAGGATCCTCCCTCCTCAGGCCTTTTAACAAGCCATTCAAAGCCTGGCAGACTCATTTATTTCACTGAAGCATTAGAAATGCTTTAGGCTAATGCAAGGATGCAGCTACAAGGAACACAAAGAGCAAAGGTCTCTTTGAAAGGGGCTCCAGTAAGGAGATATTCTATTCTCCATTACGTGGACTGAAGAATCTTGAAAAAAACGACATTTCCAGAAAGGGCAGCTTGGTACAAAAGCCCCATGGATGCCTCCCCATCCTGCACCATTCTGGCTCACTGATGCTCTCAGAGCTCAGCTAGACACCAAAACACTGGAAAAACACCTGGCCAGCAGTGAGAGTCTTTAAAAACTCCCTTTCTTATTCAGTTACAGCTTAACAAGCTGAGTAATACTCTTACCCACTAGGACTCAAAAGAGCCAAAGAGGCTCTGACAGATTTAAGCAGGCAGACTTTAACTAACATATCAGACATTTCTCAGACTGGTTTCATATATTTTAGTGTCTGCTTGGGAATAAAATTCTGAAAGCAACTGTATCAGACATGAAGAAAGCAAATCCACCCTACTTTAAATAGCTGTGCCTAGGCAGACTGGGGTCAAAAGTAAGTTGGGTTTTTTTTCCCACCTTTTTAAGGAGGGAGGCTGAAGTTAGTTCTTTATGGAACGTTTCCAGGAAATTATTCATCTTTAATATCAGCCAAAGCTAATAACTTTTCTGTAAGATATACTGCAAAACCAGAAGGTACAGGCTGTCGCTACCCGGTAAGTATTTAAAACCACATCATGGGGAAAGGAACTTTATTAAGGAAAGGGTAAAATGTCAGAGCACTGCATAGTTTTTTAAACAAAGACAAGTTTTATGCCAGCATATTACCCAAATGTCACTCCAGGAAGTGCATGGAAGTGTCCCACTGCTGAGCTTTCAATAGTTTAGATGCAGAGGATGATGTTTAGAGACCATCCAGATGAAGATGAATATCCTTGAGAAAGGCTCTGAAATGTGTCCTAATGGGAAAGGCTGCCAGACTAAGCACTGAAGGACAAGCTACACAACTACAGATCCTGTGTAAGAGGACTCAAAGAACGCCTCAAGCTTTATTGTACAGTTTCATATCCTGTCTTTTGCCCAGCACTTGTATTAAGAATGTCTTTGTTTTTATGGCAAAGTGTTAACTCTAAACTGCTTTGTTCCCTGAAAATTACACAGGCAAGTATTTTAGGGCCACACCAATACTATGCCTCATCAGCTTAAGCACATAAACCAAGTCATAACACCACTTATCTCGAGACTGGCATCTAACCAGCCCAAGCTCACCCAGTGCAGAGCCTCCCATTACCTTCAGTGTGGCTCAGAGAGCACGTCAGAAGCAAATGCTGAGATCTTGATGCATCACTCAGTACTTCTGGCCATTTAAGAGAGTCAGCTAAGTCTCAGGCCTCAAAGCACAGAGGGTATAATTAAGAATTAGCTGAGTACTTAAGGCACTTAAGTTTAGGGTTAGATGTGGCAATGAGAGATAAAATGCAGTCCTCAGGAGTTTGGCAAAGCCCACCATGGGTTTGTCATCCAATATATGACAGATTTTATTTCCAAATAAAGAGGGCACACTGACACACCCCATCACAAGGCTGATTAAAAGAACACTATTTGGACAGCCTATTGAAGTCCTCAGTGTAAATCCCTCTCTGTGCCAGGGCCATACCCAGGCCAGGATTTGGCTGGTTGGCAAGTACAGAAACCAGTAAGCACAGAAACTAGCAAGTATTGTTTACACTCTGTTCCAAAAAAATTTCTTGGCTGGTGCCTTCACTGGAGCTTGACCTTTTCATCAGTTACAATACTTGCCTCATACTAAATTTAGAGGTACTGGGAGGTTATGGGGATAAAGTTCATAGCACATGGAACCATCAGCACAGTCAGAAAGACAGGTGGCCTTGAACTACAACTTTTTACCTTGCCCTTGAGGGGTTCTACATCTTCAGAGCAGAAATCAAGCATCTCAGAGGGCTGTGGGTGTACATCCCAAGGCAGGCTGCTTAGAAATGCACCCAAGAATAAATCTATAGCCAAGAGGGCCAAAGGTTTTTCAGCACTCTCACTTCTCCAAGAAGGTTAATTTACAGTCAAATGAGCCTTGATTTTCACTTCCTTCTAACTATAGGAACTGCTTTTGTTTCCCTACAATATCATTTTAACTGATTAGAGATAGTTCTGCTTCAGGACAGGCAGCTTTTATACATTACCTAAGGTTGCTATGAAGAGTCCTTGTTACATCACCTTATCCTGGTTCCTGATTATGTCAAATGGATTGAAAACCTCTGAATTAGCTTTTATTGCACACACCTCATGAACATGATTAAACCAAGACAGGATCAGACTCTGACTTCAGAGAAATCAATTAATTGCAGTAATCAAATAACAAAAGCCTCTCTTTTAAGATAAGGTGCAGAGATTCAGACTGTCTCCCTAAACACCACCTTATGTAACTACAGGGCAAAGCTTCAGGTCCTTGTAGAAGAGGTCAAGATAACTTTTAGGTACAGAGAGAAATGTTGGGTAACACCTTTCCACAGTCTTACAGCATTAGCAGGTGTCCCTTGCCTACCACATAACTGTGTCAGGGAGCAGCATTAAGCTCAGGGCAAGAAATGGAGTAAACAGACTGCAGAGAAGCCAACAAACCATGCTCAGTAGTTGAGGGAATGCTGTTGGACTCAAGCCACAGAGAGCTAAGTGAGCTAATAAAAACTGCATTATAGACCAATCCCCCTCAAGGAAGTCTGCTCTATTCCTTCATTATATTTTGAAGCATCACATTGTTAAAGCCTCATTTATCCTCTGACTCCAACTCCTCCATTCCCACACTGCCACATAGCTCAGCTGAACATACTGGAGGGACAGCTCAAAATCCAAGGACATCACAGATGTCTTGCTCAGCTAGAGGGTTGAGCGAGGAATATGCTCCACACACAGCAGGGAAAGCCCACCTATAACATAACACAGGTAAGAACTTTATTTGAGAACAGTGCAGTTGAAGCAGCCTGAAAACACCTATACTGAACACGATGAAAAGCTGAGGTGCCATTTCTCTGAGGTCTTTTAACACCTTGCTTACTTTGTTCTCCTGATGAGCAGCTCCTCTCCACAGGGGAGCAGAAGATTTGCAGAGTCATTCTCTCACAGTCTGTCCATGACAGATAGAAGGCTCACACTAGAGGAGTAACGTAATTCACACAAATACATTGAAAATGAAGCAAAAACGTTTCAGGGCAGAAGAACTACACACAAAAAGACAGGGGCTGACCAACACCCAGCTACCACCACTGATGGATACTCAGGTCCTCCCAGACTGCAACTAAAAGAGAGGTTTTGGAGCACTACAGCAGTCACCAGCAAGTCAACGTGCAAAGAGCTATATTGCCCTCTCTCCTGCTGAATCAGAGTGACAGACTAGGGGTATTACAGGCTCATGTTTTAGGACATTTTGTCCTTACCTCTTACTAGGAGGCTCACTGTAAATGACTGTGCATGTGCTTATTTCACTCAGCACAACTCCTCATATTCACATATGCTCAACCAACACTTCACAGAACTGGGTGTTCCAGATAAGGGAAAGCCAGGCTTGAACCCTCTCTGCACACGCTTTTTGGAACCTGCAGCTCTATACAAAAGCATCTTTGAGGATGCTTTGAGGTAAGTTTAGAAGCAGGACAAGCTACTCAACAGTGAGCCTCTCAGCAGCAGTCAGTCACTTATTCCTTCTTATGAGGAACCTGTACTACACTTTTTGAGTACTCGATGCCCTGAATAGGGTTGTAGCTCAGTTATTTGCAAATAAGACATGAGACATTTCAGAAAAGTTTGGTGCTTGCAAGGCCTCAACCCATATTCACGGAGAAGCTGTCAATGTAATTTTAGTCAGACTGAACCCATGATAAGGAGAAATGAAAGCATTTCTCAACAGCAGAGAATAATAGACAACTGCACTTCTTAATCAGTCTAGAGATACAGATAAATCTGTTTGCTCTCTGCCAAGTCTGGCACTGCCTTCCACTGCCACTACCTCCAAGAGTTCAGGCACAATGACGTTTCAAGCACCTGGTTTGTACTGAACTGCTTTGCAAAGCATCTTCACTTACTACTGCCTGATACTGGCAGAGTAAGGCTGGCAGTCAGACACAATCTTTAGTGTTAAGTCAACATAGAGGTGAAGGAAAGACAAGCCCTTGGGTGTAGAAGCCTTCCTAGAGCCAGAAAAGGCTGACAGCTGCCCCACAGGGTACCCTTCACTGCCACCCATATATTGCTGGGCAAGTGGGACTTTGCTTTCCACAAGGGCAGTGTGCCCTTGCACACTGAAATTAAATCAATTGAAATGGAATCAATCAGCTGAGTTTGATCGGATATTTAACTGCATATAAGCTTAAACTTTGCAAGCTAAATGGGCAGAAGAAGGGCAAATACTTGTACAGGAGATAATTGATCTATGGCACATTAAGAGCAGCAATTCAGAACTGTAACACATCATGAAACACACTCTTCCAGAGAAACTCAGCATAGATGAAGACTCCAGAGTACTAATAAACTATGATAATTCAGGCTTTTGCTGAAAAGTCCAAGTGACCAGTTTCAGGCTGATCTTTGCACCTTTCAGTAGTAATTAATAGCACCCAAGAACCCAGCACTCACATTCCTACCAGAGACTGAAAAATCCTGTTCTTGGCTAGCTTAATCCAAGTTCAGGTACTGCCAGAGCAGGCTGTGTGAAAGTCTGGATGAAGAAGCAAGAATTATGGAAAAAGAAACATAACAGTGTAAATCCACTAGGACCTAGGCATTTCACTGCTCTAAAGCAACTATCTCCTATCTTACACCAAATCCCATCTGGAGTAGAGCTGGAACTTTGTAGACTCAGAAAACGTCTTCATACGCCTGTGTCAAGGTCAAAGGGTTTTATTTGGCGATCTTTCCTTCCCAGTGCCACATCCCAGAAAAACTTTTTCAATGTGTTAATCTCTGAGTTTTCACATGACAAGTTTAATAAAGCAGCTTTATGAAGCACTAAGAGATTAAGCTGCTATTCACTCCCTGAATAGAGAAATACAGCTTTTACAGGAAGAGTAGAATAAGTTAATTTTTAAATTTAACTTCTTCAGAAGGAGTTCTGCAAGATAGAAGGTTTTATCCACAACATCCACATCTTTTCCACACCTAAAAAAGACAGTCTGGCACAATTGTAGGTCAGCCTCATCTTTTGTGCAGCTAATTCACTCAATAACACAGAAGACCTTCCATGCAAAAGCAACTATTTTAAAGAGTAAGACAGGAGACTGAAAGAACTCAAACATTAGCTTTTATTTCTCTTTGCATATCCTTCCTATTCTTACTCTTGACTTTGAGACCAAAATAAATGATAACTAGAATAAGAAGAATGGCTGCATGTCTACTGATGTAAGAAGAGATAAGAGAAGCTATTGAAACTTCTCTTGTGATATGAGAACCAAGTAAGCACCTCAGAGAAAAGGTGACACATGAAAGATAAGACAGCTACCCCAGACTACTTGTCAATAACAAGCCTCCCTGCCCAGGAAATACTCATTATCTAAGAATGCCTAAAAATGAGATACCACAAATGCAAACAACTGAACTGAGTGTTCTGTGGACACCATATCAGCAGGGACTAGAATATGTCAACCTAAGCAATATTATGAACATTGCTGAGCATGATAATAATTGATAAATAAGGCATGTAAGATGAACACACTGTAGCTGACTAATAAGCCAGGAACATTTGTCACAGAAGGACACACCAGTGCTGTGAAAGCCAAAAAGCAATCTAAGATGCTGTCAGGAATCTTTAGTACTTGCCAGACCAGTGACAATTGTTCATCAACAATGAGAGGAAGCTGCTATGAATTCTCTGAGGGAACATACATGAGAATGCAAGTACAGAATGCAATCCCTCCAGTCATAACTGCATGAATAAAGCTGCTCCTGACATACCTCTGCAAACAAGTTAGCATCAGGTGAGAGATCTCAGCAGCTGTAACTCCTCAATTGTGATAGATACATCAACACATCCTGTGCTGGAGGAGAGCCACAAGTTACACCTGAAGGTGCAGGATGGAGCAGAGTCCCATGACACAGGGGTAACAAGCAGGTGACAAAAGGGAGTCTGAAGCTGATGCACGATGCTCGCAGCAGGGTCAGGACCTTGAATGGTGAGCACCAGCCTCGTTTAGCGGAAGCATTATGACAGGAGGGCACAATCCCCCTGGTTCTCCTTCAAGCAAGGACCATTCTCTGTTCCGCACACAGCACCCCATCGCATCCCACCTCGGCCTTCCCTCCCTGCGAGCACAGGGAAGTGCTGCTCCCACCCCAGCTCTTGCCATGCACAGCCTCGCACCCCCGGAGAGCGAAAGTGGAAGCACCGCCACCTCCCCGAGCTTCCAACGTCGGGGAGAACCGCGAAGGGACCGGACACTGACCGCCACAGCCCCAGGGAGAGACATCCCCATCTCCCCCTCGGGTAACAAACACGCGGGGACGGGCGTGCGGACAGTGCACGGCAGGACGGCGTCTGGGCAGGGACAGACCCGGCCGCGGGGCAGCCCCCAGGCCTGGTGAGAGGAACGGGAACGAGGCCCGACCATCCTCCGAGTCCTGCGGGAAGGGGCTCCCGGGCGCCCCGACATCACCTCACCTGCAGCCCCGGCCGGGCGCGAAGCCCCCGACAGCTCCCGCC